ACGATGAAATTCTGGATGTTACGGGCATGGGGGATATTGACTTGAAAACTTCAGTTGGAGCCACTTGGACTTTGAAAAACGTCAGAGTCATTCCAAGCTTGAAGAGGATGCTTATCTCAGTTGGGCAGTTGGATGATTCGGGTCTTGATGTTAAATTTGGTGGTGGACAGTGGAAGGTGGTCAAAGGAAATCTTGTTGTTGCTCGTGGCAAGAAAAGAGGCTCGTTATATATGGTCGAGATACCTCCAGAAGGAGCAAGTCCAATTTTTGTAAAAGAAAAGGTCCGGTTCAAAGAATCTCATGTGCTAAAGAGGGTTACCTTTGCAAAGGAGAAACTCAGAGAAAGAGTACAGATTCAAGATGAACTAGCTCGGAAGGTTCAACCAGTCAGGGAATTTTGTGACAGTGGGAGCACAGGTCGTGCTTCAGTCCCAATCCGACAGTGGGTTAGGAAAACTAGTATTCCGGCGTTGAATGTTTCTCCTGTTAACAATTTGCTTGGTTTGGAGAATGTAGGTTCTCAGTTTGTCTTAGAAGCTAGGAGAGTGATAGATGTGTCACACTTGGAGCTAGCAGAGAAAGAGAACGAGTCACTGGTTGTGACTGATGAGTTGAAGCTCAGTGGGAGCTTCAACGGGCCTTCAAATAACTGAAGAGAAGGCCGCTGCAACTAGTGGAAAATGAGGATTACAAGAGTTACAGATGATGAAGACTAAGGGGCGTTGTTCGAGCCTCCAAGTGGGAGATTGTTGGGCGAATTGAGTGTGGAGGCTCGACCAGGAAGGGCAGTCGGCCCTAGTCTTGGTTCGACCCATATGGCAGTAAATTAGGTTTTTTAATTTAGCCGCCCCTAATTCTCTATGTGGGCTTGGGCCTAACTTGGGGATTAAGTTTTCAACCCTAGTTTAGTCTTCATAAATAGGGATCTCTGTACTTCTAATTCTGTGAGCACCTGGATAATAAAAACCCTAGTTGCAAAGTGGATTAGGTCAGCCGACCGAACCACTATAAATCTTGTGTTCCGTTTTCTCCGTTTTGATTTCTGTTTTGTGTGTGTTCTTGTTTGGTTGTGGTTTGCTATTCAGTATTCATAGATACCCCAACACTCTACCTTTGAGGATCCTATAGTTTGCAAATTCAACATATAGGTACAACGCTTGCAGAGTTTCAAATATTTTGACAAGGTCCTGTTTGGCCGAAAAGGTAATTGTCACAGTACCATGAAGGGAAGGGTAATCTTTATGAATGAATGACTTGATTTCTAAACCTCGGTAATAGCGTAATAGTAGCTCTGGGTCAAGGATCCCTATGAGAATAGAAGTATCTATGTTTTCTTATGAATTCTTTGTCTTAGACGTCGATCTCATTCATGAGGAGGATTACCATCCTCTTCACAGTTGTGGCAATTGTCTTTTCAGCCAAACAGGACCTTGTCAAAATATTTGAAACTTTGCAAAGTTTGTACCTATTTGTTGAGTTTGCAAATTATAGGATCATCGAAGGTAAAACATTGGTTAAGTTACAACTAAACACATATAAAGCTTGCACGAAGATTGACACCATGTTTAGGGTTTGGAAGAAATTGGAGCGGGTTTTTAATGTGAAACACTTAAATCCAATTATCTTTCCTATGCTAGATTTAAATGTTAGGGATGAATTGAATTAAAATGATCTACTGCAGTAGGGGTTAACAAAGGACCCACCCCCTGGTTGCTTTCAAAGCAGTCTTCCAGCTGCCTGAAAATTGTCAATGCCGCATTATTGAGGTGAACTCAATTGGTTGCAAGACTTTATTGAGCGTTAGGTATCCTCATAATCTGCTTTCCTTTTTTGGCAATCTTGAAGCACCTTCAAGCTTGAGATGTTGTAATGGACATGATGGCCTTTTTTCAGGTTGGCTATGATAAGGCATTTGGGTCTCTTTTTGTGAAGAAGAGATGATTGATCTTATATGAAAAACAGGTTTGATTGTTTTATATACATGATTTGTTATCTTATATTCCATTTGTCCATTAATTTTCTTCCCATTTTATTTTTCGTGGTCTCCGATGCAACACTTTGACTATTAATATCTCTATTTATATATAGATATATATTATAAGATATAAATATTTCAAAGTTAATGTATTGTCATTAAATTTTTATGATAATTCAATATATGTTTTGCATAATTTGTGACCATTGTTTAAAAAAATTAACCAAAAAACTCAAACTGGAAAGGATTTTTTTTGTTATGGAGTTATATTTTCATATACTCTTTTCTTTAGATCCTTATTCTTTATTTTCAATATTGTGAGTAAAGCTAGTATATTTGTGTAATTATTATAAATGATTAGTAATAGGTTCAAAAATTTGTCTCGTGTTTTCTAGCTTCTTAGGTAGGGATGTACAAAATCTGGGCCAGACCGGGAAAATCCGCTTTCCGGGCTAGACTTGCAAAAATCCAGACCAGTATTTGGTCTTAGAATTGAGGACCGATATAATTCTGGCCATTCCGGTCCAAGACCAGATGGTTTCTGGGTCAGACTGGCAAGACCAAAATGTGTTTATTCTTTTCTTCTTTTTTTCTTTAATACTAGTTATATTGATTATAAATAAATTTTGATTTATATAAACAACTTTAAGTATAATTTTTTAGCTTAGATTTTTAGATACTTCTATATGGAGTATATGCAGCTTATTCCTGGAAAGATAGAAATTAGAAATATATCGAAATGCAATTTTATCAATATAATAGAAACTTAACAAACTAACGAAAGGATTTCCAAAAAAAACAAACTAACAAAAGTATAAATTTTATTTTAAATGTATCATATTATTGATGAAATATTTGTATGTTGATATTATTTCTTGGAACACAATCAACGAATAGAAAAAAATAAAAATAAGGTTGAATCAAGCTTGGTCGTCAAAAAATGAGTTGAAATAATTCAAAATAAATAAATAAAAAGATACCGTTTTTTTGTTCTAAATCGGACCGGAAAAAATTAGTCCGGGTTCCCGTCCTATCCTTTACCTGATTCCGGTTTTCCAGTTCTGGTCCGGTTTGGTTTTGGACAGGTGTTCACCCCAATTAGAAACTTGTAGAGACTAGAGACTGACTCTTTTATGGTGGGATTGATGTGTAGCAGATTTGATCAAAAGTGGACTGTGGTTGACTCAAATACCTAGTAGAATTTGTGTAACTCCGTACTCCTAACATATCTAGGATGTTTCTAAACAGCTCCTTGGGAAGTTACCTATCACCCTTAACTAATAAGGCATACATGGAAATATGGAATTAACAGCCATATTACAAGCAGACATGTTTTCTTTTTGGATGAGGTAATATGCTTTTCATTTTGTATGCGCTTTTGAAGTCAATAGGTGTACTTCTGTTTTCCCATTGCTATTAAAAACCTTAATCTTATTAGGGCATGTCTTTTCACATCTGTTCTCCAATTGAAACACCAAGCAGAGTAATGTTTTCTACAATGCAGGATATACGAAAAAGGGGATTCCTGTTTATCTTTATATATAGACTTGTGAAGTAGATAAGTCCTTGAATAAGAATCTTTTTGCTACAGTTCTTGGAAGCTCCTCAGGAATGGAGAGAGAGAGAGCTTCAAAGAAATCTGTAATCTGAACCAAACTAGAGAAAGATAGAGGGAGACGGATGAGAGAGACGAAGATATTGAAAGGGAATTTGATTATTCATTTATTGATTACAAAAAGTACAGAGTTGGGGGTATTTATATTTGTCAGCAGCAGCTAACACCCATAGTTATGAATGGCGTTCGCCATGCTCGCCTATGGCGCTGTGGCGAGGCTAAAACGCCTGGTTTGGGCTGTGCATGGCGTTGTTCTAGAGGCGAGGAAAGGCGGTCGCCATTCTTGCTGCGTCCATGGCATCTGGCGGGCGCTTATGTCGCCATTCAGATCTGTTCGAATGGATTAATTAAATTGGGCTTAAGCCCGTTTGGAATTAAATGATTTGATTTATTACCTTAAGTCAGTTCATCAATTACCTTAATCGATCTTATCCCTTTACAATCTTCCGTCTTTCATCGCCGATCCTCTCCTCCAAATTCCCAATCAAAATCGATTTTGCTCCCTCTCTCTGAAGTCGACTCTGCTTCCTCTCTTTGAAGTAGCAACTTCGACTCTGCTCCCTGTCTCAGAAGTCGCAACTTCCCAGCGATTCACCTTGGTTAACTCGCAGCAGATTCAGGTCAGGATATTATTATTCTTTTTTAGTTTGTGTTATGTTCAGTTAATAAATACGGAGTATTACTAATAGTTACAATTCTTTTAGTCTAATAGTTAGCATTATATATTCAATTTGTGTACTATTCTTTCAATTTAGAAAAATACTGATTTTTCTTTTTTAAAATATTAATATTATTTATTGTGTATTTTCATTTAATAGATATTAATTGTATTTAATAATTATATATATATATATGTATATATGTATATATATATATATATTCGCTTTTTTTGGTTCGCCATTTGACTGCCCGCCACTCGCCACTCGCCATTCATAACTATGCTAACAGCTAACAAATATAACAGTACAACAAACTCCTAACCACCTTTCCAGCTAATCACCTATATCATACTACCCCCCATAGAGCAACCTTGTCCTCAAGGTTGTTGAGACTTTGCCATATGTACTTGCTTGAATTTCCATCTGATGGTGCCTAATGTGCATAACCATTGGATACCAAGTACACAGCCATATCCTCCAACTGTCATAGGAAATTTATCATAAGTGAATTATGTGCTTTGCAGCATCCATCTGAATTTGTTACAGATTTGAGTACATTGTAGACTATAACCATGAGTCACTGCAACTCTTAGTGCTCTGGTTGATTCCAGGTAACATCCCATAGCTAAGGCCCCAGGCCATGAAACTTGGTTGGCAAGATTGCCTTCTCTGGTGGAGATGATCATCTCTATCCATTGTGCCAAGGGGATTAACCATTGTGTCCTGGCTGAATTATTGCATGTAGCCTCGTGCAATGGTTGTCCTGTCCAAAGAATCAGCCACTCTATCCTGACTAGTACAATTAGAGGCTGAAGTATAGTAGCTGTTCCATAGGACCAATGTAAGACTTTTTTCTTTAGTACCCAAAGTTTCTGATCAGTTCCCTTTAGGATAAGTGTTCTGCCAGAGTTGAAATGTGTGCCTTGTAATTCCCATTTGAAACATTTGAAATTCTTACAATCTTCGATCCCTTGCAAAGTGTACTCTTCAACCACTGCCTCCTTACAAACAGTAATGGGTTCAAAGTAATATCCCACTCTTTTAGCAAGACTAGAATCTATACAGTTATTCGTGCCTCTTGATTTTATTAACAGTTGCATTTCTTTGTTCGACACCTGGCCAGTAACCCTTATTGTATGGTTAATGGTTTCCATTGCCTTTTGAAATATCAGGAGTAATATTTATAGAGCACTGTCAGCCATTGGGTTGCAATCAGGCATCTCAAACTTATCAGCTTCTTTTTCTCCTAGTATCCCCACCAGAAAGGACCAAGTTCCCTTGCTCTCACACTTATGTCCTTTCAATAGGCTTTAACAGTAATCATCCCATCCATTTTCTCTTTTCTCAGTTTTCATGGTAGCAGGTATAAACCTTGGTTTTCTTTTGGGTAGAAACTGGCAATTGCAATTAGAGTCAGCAAGAGTATTTGCCTCCACAATACCTTGTTTGCCACCAATAGCCACTGATTTAGAGTCTTCAACATTAGCAGAAGGCTCATTTGAGAGGCGCACCAATGAGTGTGAATGGTCAATTGAAATCAGTGTTGTTTTAGTTGTGGCATGAAGCTCCAATGGCACATCTACTGAATCCTTTTGCAACAAATTATCAACAGGAAAGACACCATTATCATCCAAATCTGTCACCCTACTGGTGTGTATCTCGTAAGTATTCAGACTATTCAAGTGTGTCTTAGGCCCCGTTCCGTTCAACTTATTTTTTCTTATTTTTTCTTATTCTTATTAAAATCAGATCAGACCAGATCAGATCAGATCAGATCCAATCAGATCAGATCAGATCCAATCAGATCAGATCAGATCCAATCAGATCAGATCAGATCCTATCAGATCAGATCAGGACTTATTAAAATAAGATCTCTTCAAGAATTATTATTATTATTATAATTATTATTATTATTATTATTATTATATTATTATTATTATTATTATTATTATTATATTATTATTATTATTATTATTATTATTATTATTATTATTATTATTATTATTATTATTATGATCATCATCATCATCGTCATTATTATTATTATTATTATTATTATTCTTAAAAATGAAAAAGAATAAACTTTAGAAATAGGTTAAATAAAAAGCTAAGAAAGTAATCCTTGATTATTAGACGTCGGAAAAATTAGTTTTAAAATACATTGACAATGTCAATCTAATTCTACTTTTAAAATATATTTTTATTGCTACTTGTAATTTGAGTTTCTAAACTTTTGATCTTTTATAAGGATGAGATATTTTAATAAAAATACTATCTCTTCTATATATTGATTATCTAAATTTAATTACTTTTAAATGTATATCTAAATTAAATATTTATTCTAATGTATAATTCTAATTTTACAAAAAAATTATCATAAAATAAAAAATATTATTACATTATAATATGAATGATTATTCTAATATATGAATTAACTATTTTTATTTTATTAAAAAATAATCATTAAATAAAAAATANATCAGATCCAATCAGATCAGATCAGATCAGATCCAATCAGATCAGATCAGATCAGATCCAATCAGATCAGATCAGACCAGATCAGATCAGAACTTATTAGAATCAGATCAGATCAGAAAAAATAAGTTGAACGGAACGGAGCCTATAGTCAACTTCAGAAAAGGATGCTGATTGATAAAAGCTTTGGATGTTGCTGCTTGAGAAAGAGATAGACGAGAGAGATAGAGAGTTGAAGAAGTTACTCATTTCTTAATTGATACCGTTTTAGCGATAGAGCGGTTATTTATAACAGCTGCCCCAACTAATAACCCTAACAAACCCAACTAACCTCCATTTACACTGTATCATTTTTCTAGAATAAGGGGCTGTTTGGTAACTTCTGAATGGGTAAGTGCTGAACCAGTAAGAGGTCTGAACCATTAAGTGCTGAACCAGTAAGAGGTCTGAACCATTAAGAGCTAGTATATTGTTTAACTATTCAGAGGCAAATGTCTGATCAATTAAGAGCTCTTAACCATTCAGACTCTGTATAATACTTAACCATTCAGAGGCAAATATCTTAACCATTCAGACATCTGAACCATTAAGAGGCTGAAACAAACAGTCTGAACCATTAAGTGCTGAATCATTCAGACATCTGAACCATTAAGAGGCTGAAACAAACAGCCCCTAAGTTATGCAGTTTTAAAGCCTGAGTGAATCTGAGATAGGTCCTATGGTTAATGGGCACCAAGGAGAAGTGGCTTTGTAGCTAGATGTACCTGAATTTAGGGCAATCTTTGATGAAGCTGTTTGCTGCAATTCCTGATTCTGCGGAGATTTGGCTTGCTGTGTAAATCTTAGGCAGATTTAGTTAAGGTAGTGGTATTTTGTTACTTTGGTTATAGTGGAGGTTTTAAGATCAATCAATTCCTTGCAGATCCATCAAGGAGGATGGTATGTTTTTTTGACAAATATAAGAGAGGCTTATGTGGCAAGAGATAGATGCTAACTTGGCGAAAAATGGACGGAGAACAAGCTGACACATGGTTGCATGCCGTTACAACACCCAAGTAAGGTGGTTTCTATTTTAATACTCCCTTCGTCTGGAAAATGATTTTCTCAAATTGATTTTTCACGTTTCAAAGAAGAGTTGAAAAAAATAATGTAATTTTTCATTATATCTTCAATAAAAGTGGGTGGAGTATATATAAACTATTTTCTTTACAGGGGGATTAAAAGGGACGCGCTTACAAGATAGTGAGAGAGCATTTTATGAAATACTCGTCCATTTTGGGACAACCGATAAAATGGGAACGATGCAGAGAAGACGAAGTGCTTTGATTTGCACTTATGGACACCAAGGGTGTGCAGATGCGGCCATTCTTGAAGAGGAGTTGGCTAAACTCTTGATTGGTTCTATACAACTTTAAGGCCTCGCCGTGCTTCTCTCTGGCCGTCCATCTTTAAAACCACAGACACCCCGACGACTTCACTGAGTGATTTTGTCCAGCTCACCGGGGGCAGAGAGTATAAACAAGATGTTTAATGTGTAAAAGAGGTTGAAAGAAGAAATAGGCTAGTGGATTTTAAATTTTTTGGTTTTTATATTTGAAAAGAAATATTGTGTTGAAGAATAAAATACTTCTTTGTATGGATAAAAACATGTAGTGAATTCTACTCCAAAATTTCTTTGATGAAAAGTGTAAAGTACTATGGGTAATGCTAGAGTCACAAATCAAACATTCACAAAATTTACAAACTTATCAAATATGTAAAGTAATGGTTTCAAATTATGGTCTTAAATATTTAAAAAATAAAAATTTAAATTCACAAATGGTAAGTTTGTATACTTTGTGAGTGTTTTGTTTGTGACTCTAGTATTACTCAAATACTACTTCCGTCCCATTTTATAACGCCT